GAAAAGCAAAATCCACATTGGAAGCAAGCATTCCCAAACTTAATGTATAGTACATTAGGTCATAAGAACACTTCATAGGGATCCGGTAACAGATGGGTACGGTGGTTCGACCACATGACCCCCACGGTCCATATATAGGAGCAACCGGAACTCAGTAATAAAATACAAATTTTCCTGCCAGTGCATTGGCCCTTGCACTGGTGACTGGAAGGGGTTAAACTCTTACTGAATGTGGGTGGTGAGTGGGTATTTTGGGCAGACACGTGGTCTAGTGCCTGACCTGTTATGGTGAATGCTGCCTTATTTTTCCAAATAATTAGGACAAAAAAGATTTGCAATGAATGTTAAAGTACACTGAGCACAACTCATTTTTTAAAAAAAAATTAAAAAGATCTGAGGGGCTGGAAGTTCCTGAGAATCAAACTTAAAAATTTTTTTATCAGTATACGTTTGTGATACATAATAAATGTATCCATGGTGGAGAACTGGTACAAATACATAATGCATTGTGATCTTTTTTACTCCCCCTTCTCTCCTCCCTCTCATCTCTATCCATCTCCAGATCCCCTTCCCACCTCCACAAAGTCTACTGCCCTGTTTTCTATCATGTCTTATCTTTTGTTTTCTACATTATTTATATGTTGGGTTTCCCATAGAAGAGAGTCCGTGTGATAGTTAACTTTCTGTGTCTGATTTATTTCACTTAGCATTATGGTCCCAAGCTGTATTAATTTGCTTTCAAATGTCTCAAACATATCCTTCTTTATGGCTGAGCAGTAACTGCAGAGCACATAGTTTCACTGGACTGGGGACACACAGGTTCTCTGGGTGGAACCAGGGACCCTGGGTTCCATGGAATGAACCCCAGCACAGAGCCAGCACCTGATTCAATCTGAATGCTTTCCTGCCTGGCTTCCAGGCAGGAATGAGAGTAAAGGCCAGGGCAGAACCTTGGTTTAGGGTTTTTTTGCTCTCATCCTGGCTTCATGTGGATTTCTGGAAGGGTCGTTGTTTAGGGCTCTAGGAAAATAGGTTCTACAAGGAATGTGGGCCTCTGAGTGAGGGTTTCAGAAGAAGCCAGGAAGGTGTGCCTTCCTTCTATCTGGGAATTTCACTGCACTCCCTCCTGTCTTCTTGGGAGAAATGGAAAAAGTATGTAAAGTCCAGGGAAAGTGTAACAGTGTGTGTGTGTGTGTGTGTGTGTGTGTGTGTGTGTGTGTTCCTGTGCATGTGCTGACCTAAAAACAAAACAAGGATAACAAATTCAAACCCAAACTAAAAGGTGGACCCCAAAACAAAAGTGGTTCCCATCAAAAGCATCACAGCCTATGGGCTCCTGGTCTATTTTATTCCTCTATTCTTTATTTTTTCATTCATGTAGAAGGAAATTGGATATTTCCCACCTTCATGAACAGAATCTGAACACTTTTGGGCAAAAGCATCAGACTCAAGAGTTAGAAAAAAGAAATAAGGAATCCCTGACTTCAAATATGCCAAGGGCACCTGGAAGTCCTCCCTCCCCTCCTCTTTCCCTTCTCCGTTCCTCCCCTCTCCCTCCCCTCCCCCTCTCATCCTTTCAGTACTGGATTTGAACCTAGGGCCTTTGCACTAGGCTACACCCACATCCCTTTACGTATTTTTTCATTGTTTTTGGAGAATCTTTCTAATTTATTTAGTGGTACTTGAACTTGTGATCCTAGTGCTTCTGCCTCCTAAAATGCTAGAATGACAGGTATGTGCCACCACATATGGCAGTTAATTTATTACTGACTCCGTGTCACACGCACTGTCCATGGCACTATTTTCAGACCTTTTCCACACTTCCAGGTCTCCAGCTTTGCTGAGCTCAGAGCCATCTGATGTGAGCTTTAAATTATGACTCTGCCACAAACTGACTACCCCTTTATCCATCTCCTGTCCTGGCTGGGAGTTGAATATGCCCTTCCACCTTCTGATGGAAAAAGCCACCCAGGCTTTTGGCTCCTCTCAAAGTTCTTCCTCTCAATCCAAAGAGTGTAGGATTTCTAGATCCCAGGGAGCACTGAGCCCATGTGGGAGCACTGAGCTTCCGGGGGAGGTTCTGTACTTGCCCTGGGGAGCTCTAAGGAGAGCCAGGGGAGGCCTGGGTTCCCCCCACAACCACTAGGGCTGGGGACAGCCTTGCCTGCTCTCTTCCTTCTCCTTAGCCCTCTGGGTTTAGGAGGATTTGATTTGAAGATAAAATAATTTCATGCTTGAAAACTATAAAAGCAAACACCGGCCCCTTCAGAGTTAAATGCTGGATTTGCTGAGACCTGGGGTAGAGAAGACAGAGAAAGTATGTGTGTGGCAGAGGACGTGGCCAGTGTGGTAGACCCTGGTCTGCAGCTTGGGAAGGGGAGAGAGGTTAGGAAGGAGATTACGGCTTGGGGGATGGGAAGCCCTCAAGGATTCCAGGAGGGGAGAGGATCTAGGAAGCAAGGGCTGTGCAACTGCAGTTAGGTTGGGATGGGGGAGCGACAAGCTCCAGTCCCTAGAAGGTCCCTGCTTGTGTGGGAGCAAGATGGCTCTGACGTCAGGCACAAGGTCTTGCATGGCTCCTTTAATCCTCGGGTGCGAAGGACAGGGCTGTGTAGTCATCCCCTCCTGGTCAGCTCTGCCCAGAACACCACCTCAAGGTCCTGTCTTAAATGTTTAGGGGCCCGTGGCTACTAAGTCCATGCACCCATAACACTGGTCCTATGCAAGAATTGAAATTCTTAAACCTAAACATGAACCAAAGAGCTTCTGTCTGGGTCCAAACTGTGTTGATGTAATTTTTTAAAAATTTTCCTTAACATTATAAAGAAGATGAATTCAATTCATATGTAGGAAAACAAATGGATATTGAGACCATAATGTTAATGAAGTAAGACAGACACAGAAAGTTAAATACCGCATGGCTTCTTTCACATGAGAAACCCAATTATAAATAATTTAAAGAGTAAAATAAAGGCTGATTTTGTTGGAGTAGGGAAAGGGAATCAGGGAAAAAGAGAGAGAGGAAGGTGATATATATAATATATTGCAAATATATACTGATAAAAAATAAATAAATGTGAATTGAGATTAAAGAAAATATTTCTCTGACATGAAAATATGCAAAAGAGGTCATGCAAAAAAATAATGTGCTAATTACAAAATAATGTTCCTTCCTATTTACTGAATAAGAAAATGACTTCTGGTACTTCTTTCCCTGCAAACACAGCTGTTGCCATTGTCTGAAGCACTAACCAATAAAGCAGACCCACTAAGACTTCTCTTAGGAAGTCCCTTTGAAAGGCGTCTGTGGTATCAGTATGTGAGTTTCTGAGTAATAAAAAGGCACTGCTTGGAATTTAGATTACTTCCTTGTTCAGCGTGACCTTTCCCAGATTACTATGGCGTGTGACATTTCTCTGAAGGAAACACTGATCCACAAACAGAGGCTCTTGTGGCAAACAAGATGCCCAGACACCCGCCCCCTTCCATCTCAGACCGTGGGGAGCTACAGACCCAGAGCTCTGGATGCAGGAGCACCCATTCCATGAGGAATGGGGAGCCAGGCATGGTGCTTTCCCAAGGTTTCCTCTATGCCCCACCCTCTTCACCCTCCCTTCCTCCCATGCTCCCTGATGTCCTGCCACAGATGGTGTCCATTGTGACGATCTGACCCTGTCTTTAAGGCAGGATGTATGGCTTCGACCCCAAACACATGGGTGGGATAGCCCTGGTGCTCTGGGCAGGGAGAACAGAGCAGCTTCTAGAACACAACTGGGTTTCCCTTGATGTCATGGCATTTTGAAGGGTATAAACCCAAATGCCTTCAGAAAGGGCATAGTTCTTTCCTTTGCTTCACTGACCACCATTCCTTACTGCCTGATCTGAGTTGACTTGGTCTATAACCTAGGAGCGGGAGGCATCTCTTGTTTTTCCTTGTGGTGGCCTTTCATTGTGGCACTGATGCAGTCACTGACCAGCCCTAAGTGGGTCCACAGGAACCCGAATGAGCCTGAACGTGGGGGCCCCAGGTTGAGCTCAGCACTTCGAGGCCTCCCTGCCATGGTGCTGGGCTGGGTCTCACGCAGCAGCTCAGGACCAGGTGACCAAATGCCATCTGCTCTCTGTGGGACAGTGTCTCCACTGTGTCTCCTGACTTGTTTAAGTGCTCATAAAAAAGAAAAGAAAGAAATGGTTTTACCGCTCTAAGAGGTTTCAGCATGGAACCTGGATAAAAATTGCCCACAGCCTGCTATGATGTTTTAATTAACTACAATTTTTTTTGTTGTTCCTATCCATCAGAGCTGTTAAACCAACTCTGATTTTTCAAGGGTGGGAAGAGGGATGAAATTTTTTAGCTTCTTGGGGACTCTGAACTGATTAAGATATAAGGTGGGCTTTTTACCCCTTTAGTTTTCTTTTATAAGCCCAAGAAAAGAGGCCTTTCATGAGTCTCTTTTTTGACCTCAGTAGAAACTTACTTTTCTCTGTAATTACTTGGTAAATTCATGAAAGGACTTCATCCCTGGGCCCCTTTCAGTCTGTGCATTCAGAGAGCATGGAGTTTATCCACTCCCAAAGAGTCTGTGGAATTGGTGTAATTATCCTGGTGTTTATAGATGAGGAGATGTGGCTTAGGTCACACAAATCACCAGTGGACTCGGTCTGAGTTTGCTGACAGCCCCCACAGACTCCTTCCACCCTGGGCTGGCTGCCTCCACTTCTGTCCGGTGCAGGCAAAGACCACAGCCAATCTCTGGCCCTGGAGTCATGAGAGGAAGCTCAGGGTCAGTGGGAATTTTGCACAAATGCAGTGTATGGGAGGAAAAAAAAAAACCATAATGAAAGAAATCCACTGCATCTTGGCAGGAGAGACCTTTTAACTCAGTCCTGGATTTTTGGCTTTAGTGCAAGCCTATTTCCACTCAGGAGACTGTAAACAGACTCTCCACCACAGCCAGAGGAGGCCTGGGCCTGTCCCCGCCCAGCACATGGGCACCTACCTCCTTCAAACTCCGTCTGGCAGTTCCCTGAGGTCTCATTCAGGCTCTCCTCCTCGTTGATGATGATATTCTCAATGTCCTTCATTGTTAAGTGATCCCGGAAGGCGTGGTAGAGAATGTGCTTCAGCTCTTCCAGCGTTATCCTTTGCATGTCGAACTGTGGAGAGAAAGCAGAGAGAGAGGACTGCAGGGGTGGAAGTGTGGACATGGCTTGGGTGTGACCGGCAAGCTCTAGAGCACCTCCCAGGAAACTGGGCTCCACTTTTCAGGGTATCAGATGAGCAGTTTCCATCCTGTTCAGCTCAGAGCATATTTGTGAACTCACAGGGCCAAATACAGTGGGGATACAGTGAGGGGAACATAGCCCCCTCGATTTAGACTCTTGGAGCAAAAATGCCACCTGCTCGTTTGGTTTTCTACTCCTCCGGCCATCTGCTGTCAACTCTCCACATCTCATGGACTTTAGAGTTGTGTCACACTTCAGACAATGCATACATTTCTCAAAATTTTATCATCTTTCAAGAAACCAGCACGTTCTGTTTTGTCTGAAGTATGGAGGATTTAGGGGTTTGGTCCCCCAGGGTTTCATGTGTTAGAGGCTTGGTGCTTAGCTCATCCATTTTGAGAGGTGGCATATCCTCTAATAGGTGGGGCCGAGAGGATGGTGGTGAAGTCACTGAGGGCCCTGTCCTTGGGAAGGATTAAGTTGTTTGCTTGGGACTCCGCTTACTGCTTGTGAACGGGAGTTTGTACAGAAGCTTGAGCCTGACCCCTGCTCCCGTCTCCCTGTATCACCTCTTCGGCATGTGCTCGGACCATGGTTATGACATCTGCCACGAAACCCTCACCAGAGTACAGCAGAAGCTGACTCCAAGCTCTTTCACCTCCAGAATCATGAGCTAACTGCATCGCTTTTCTTTACAAGATATCCAGCCTCGGGTATTTTGTTACAGCAATGGAAGATGGACTGACACGTATCGAAGTATGCGTCTTGTTCCAAGACCCTTATCAAATAAAAGCCAAGTTCAAGGCCATGTTTCTGAAGAAAAGCTGAAGAGGAGGTGTGGCATTCTCTATTCTGTCTGGTCTCTCTCAGTGATAGGATTATGCTTTCCCACTCCATTTAAGTCAGGCCTGGACATGTCATACACTCAGCTGGTGATATGTAAGTGGAAACCACACAAGCCATATCCAATTAAAAGCTTTAAGAGTCATTGTGTGGTTCTATCATCTGTTCTTTTTCCTCTGCTGGGAGAATCACGTATCCCAAAGAGAGAGGCTGTTCCTTCAGTCTAGGTCTCCGAGTGGCAATAAAGTGGAATAGAAACACAGCTACCCCATAAAAGACAAAGATTTCACAATCATTGAAGTGCCCTTTATTGTTATCATCAATAGACATTTCAGGCCTATTTGCTATTTGCTACTACACCATAACTTAGTCCTTGGACTAAGTCAACAAGGCAGAAATTGGTACATAAAAGTGAAAGAATACCATAGCAAAAATTCTATAATCTGATGCTAAGGCTTCTGTGCCAGGCAGTGGGAAACAACAGAATGTTACTGGAGGCTGGAAAGATGGGAGAGCTTGTGGTAAAACTGCTGCCTATGATAATCCAGAGGACAGCTATTTTGACTGAGCTCGTGGTTTTGAGTGAAAAGTTTGGGGACTAACATACTGTGGTTGCAGGCATCCACATATGTAACTATTACGTCTTGGAGCATCAGAGATGAGCTTCAAAAAGAACTGGTTGGTTGGCAAGCCAGGGATAAAGATAACCCACAAATTCCTGGTCCTCTGGAGTTGAAAGAAGTAGTTATTCTCGTATTCCAACTAGTAAGAAAGAAAACTGACAAATTCTTTAAATGACAGTACTTGTTTATTACACCAAAATGTCCCCTGTCAAAACTTCTGCATATGTGAAGCCATTCTTATATCCAGAGATGTGGGATTCAAAATAATTGTGGATGTTGTAATTGGCATAAAAATAAAAGTCAGATAAAAATATAACTATGTTCTTGACAGAGCTGTGCTGACCAGGAGCCAATAAGCCAGTGGATGTAAAGATACTATAACTGTAGTGTGCAGAAGTGAGAGTGAGCCCAATGTGATGGCACATGTCTATGATCCCGGCACCCTGGAAGGCTGAGTCAGGAGGTTCATGAACTCTAGGCCAACCTGGGCCACAGAGTGACTTAGTGAGACCCTGTCTCAAAACAAAAATAAATAAATAAAAAGCTAGGGATATAGCTCAGCATGAAGGCCCTGGCCTCAATTCTAAGTACCACAAACAAAAAAATACCCGCCAAACTGCAACAATGAATTAAAATGATCTTTGGGCTTCCCAGCCTATAGACACAAGCAAAAATGAGGCTAAGCTACACTGGTCCCAAGAAAGGCATGTTTCCCAATGCCCTTAGCAGATGAATACAAGGAGAAGAGTGGAAAGAACAGATGGGGGTGGGGGCAGGAATCATGGAGACCAATAAAAATCAAGTGCCAATTCCAGAAGGCAGAACTAGGACCTACCTAAGGAAAACTCTTCATGCCAAAGTCTGTCTGTCCACTGGGATTTCAGAATTGTTCTGAGGTTCTGTTAAGTGTCCCCCATTTTTTTGCTTTCTGGATGGAAATGTTTTAGGCGTTTTTTGCTAGAACCTTGCCCACCACCATAGGTTGAGTGTGAGAGAGTGCGTGTGTGAATGGATATTTTGTCCTTTTAGTTCCCATGTCTTCAACTAGAGAGGCATCATACTTAGATTTGACGTCTATCATGAGATCTTGAATCTGATTCTATTACAGGCCTTTCAGGGCATCTCCCTTTGGGGAGGATAAGAATACTTTGTGTCTAAGAGAAGGTGCTATGGTTTCCATGTAGTTGAGCTTCTGCAGTGTATGTGCTGGAAGCTTTGCCCCCACTGCAGTGATTCTGAGAGGTGAAGAAACCTTTAAGAGCTAGGGCTTAGTACAAGGCAATTAGGTTGTTCGTGTGCTCCCATGGAAGGGATTAATGCTGGTCTCACCCTGTGTGTGAGCATTCATGGATGCAAGCTGTTACTAAGCAAGGCATCCCATGTGCTTGGCCCCTTCTCCCTGTGGCCAGTTTCCTTTCCATTTCTCTACCATGTTGTGACCCAGCCCAGTGGGTGCTCACCAGAGGCTGAGCAGATAAGATGACCTGATCCTGGACTTCCAGCCTCCAAAACTGTGAGCTAAATAAATCTCTTCTACGTACCTAGGCTTGAGTATTTTGTTAAGTGAAATATACTAATACCGAGAGAAATTCACATTTCTGAGCCAGTGTGGACTGTAACAGGTTGTATTATTTCCAATTATTTGTTTCCTTTCCCTGTGAAAGGAGTATGAAAATAGTGATGGAAAAATACAGTGAATGCTCAAATTAAAAATGGATGACAGTAAGACAGTATCATTAATCCCCCACCAAATATTCCCACTGGCTCGGAACTCACTTACCCCATCACACTTTCCACTTTCTGAAAAAGTTCTGGAAGTCTTTCCTGAGTGTCTTCACAAGGTGTGATAAAAAATATGGTGAATGCTACTGCTGAGTAGCATCCAACGAAAGGCTCCTAAAAATTTGACTGTGTGTCTTCATCAGCCTTATTCACCAGATCTGGCACCTTGTGAATTATGGCTCTTCCCCAAGAAAGGGAAACATTTTGAATGGATTCAAGATGTTGAGGCAGTCATGATTGTGCAACTAGAGACACACAAAAGAGGACTTCCTGAGGTGCTCCAGAAAGTGGAAAGAAGGATGCAGTAAGTGTGTTCAAAGTGAGGGGAGGATTAATGGTAATGTGTCTTTTATTCCCATATATGTAACAAAATTTAACAATGACCATATTTTTAAAAATCACATCTCCTATTTTCCTTCCCATCGACACCAGGCTTTGGCCCACTAAACACGAGATAGGAACATGAGATAGGAAATCAATGAGAGTCTGAAGAGATGCTTCACAGCCATGGTGTATCCTGCCATTTCTTTTTCTTCTACCATGAAACACTCATATCAGGCAGGGGCCATCCCCTCCACCCTAAGTCCTTGATTAACCATTATCCAAGGAGACTCTCGCCTGACAGGCCCTGTTGTTAGCCACTAAGACTTTGGTCTTTCTTTAGTGTAAGTCAGCCAAGGATGAACACAGAAATCAATGTCATAAGTTATTCTGGAAGACAATGAAGGAAAATCTGAGACACTTTTCTTTCCCTGCATGCTTGGTAACTAACTCCTAACTTGCTCCGAGTATGCATCTTGTTCTAAGAAATTAAACCAGGTTCCTGAAACTTGCTGGAAAATCTAAAAGATTCAAATTCAAAGGCACTAATATGACTAAGAGCCACTGAAGAAGAGATACAAAGCAGATTTACTTTGTGCATTACAGTTTAATGGTCATGCAAGTGAATTTTGACACACACTGAGGTACAATTAAGCCATGAAGCAACCTCCAATATATAAATAAAAATAAGTAAATAGAGCTAAGTGTTAGTCTGGTTGTAGGGAGAAGGCTGGCAAAATACAAGGAGTAGTATTTCAGAAATAAGAAAACAGATTCCCCAAGTCAAACGCAAACATGGAGAATGTTAAGATCTAAGAGACTCTTTGAGAAAATGAGCATCCATTTCCTGGGAGACCAATCAAAGAGCTGCAACACCTAGAAAATCTCCGAACAGTGGAGAGCTTGCTCTAACTCTGAAATTAGGCAAAAAGCTTGGCCAGGGGCTGTGAGAAGAGAGGAAAGGGTACAGATTAAAGAAATCTACAGTATTGGCTATTTGGGTCATGTTTTTCTCTTGGGATCTGGATATGTGAACAAAATTAGTTGAGCAGCAGTCCATATGTGTTCTATGTGGTCCGAATATCTGCCTCTTTAAAGTCTGGAAGAAATTGCTGTAAAACATGGACACAGTGCCAAGGTTCCTCCCATGATTATTGGTCCATTTAGCTTTGAAACATTTTCTGAGTCACTTTTGGAACTTATTTTTGAAAACCAGCTACAGTATTTTCATTATTATTAGCCTATAATTATATCCCATTTCTTATCAGTTCATTTGTGGTAATTTTTTTTTCTAGTTTTTTATCTGTTTGCCCTTTTTACTGGATTGTGGCCCATATATAGGCTGTTTTTAAAAACCCAAGAAACTTTCCATTAAAATGAAATCTGCATAAGAAAAAGAAAGGTCTCTGGAAGTTCATGATGTACAGTTGGCTAGAAGTACCAGGGCTCAGAAGAGTTGTATCCATGGGGTTGATATGCCAGTTTGGAAGTCATTTACCTACCGATGGTGATAAAAGTCACCAGAAGGCTGTGTCACCTGATGGGGCAGATATGGAGGGGAGACAACCCCAAGAAAAGCATTTTGAGGACATCAACATGAACACACGGATGGCCTCCATCATGGAATAGGCCGTCATTGATACACACAGCCATTTAAAAATATTTAGGTGCTCTTTTTAATGCTTTTTGAAAAAAAAAAATCCTGTTTTGCATCAGTATAGCTGTGCTTGTTTCCCTTCTGTGTGAATTCTTCCATTAAACATTTGTCTCTTTTTGTGTGTTTTATATTTTATTTTGTTTTGTTTTTGGTACTGGGGATCGAACTCAGGACCTTGCACTTTCAAGGCAGGCGGCTGAACTACTGAGCTAAATTCCCAGCCCTGTGTGTTATATTTTAGAGGCATATCTCTTTCAAGAAGAATAAACTTGAATTTTAAAAAATAATCAAATTTCAATCTTTGCTGTCCCATAGTGGAAATTGATTCCATTTTCTTTGTATATTATTAAAAACATGTTTGGCTGTTTTATCTTAAGTTTGCTATCTTATTTTCTAATTTTGGATCTTTCTGGTCATCATATTTTCCTTTGCCTCTTGTATAAACAAAAAATCTACAGGGGCCAGGGATTTAGCTCAATGGTTCTGCCACCTGCCTCACAAGGCACTAGGTCCCAAGTTTGATCCCTGGTACCAAAAAAAAAAAAAAAAATCTATGGCTTTCTGAGGAATGTCTTTCCATTTAGCAACTGCATTACCCAAGCCACCATTTCTTAAACTATGAAATTCAGAAAGCTAATTGTGTCTTCTCATCTTTCCTTGTATGTGGTAAGAAAAGTTAGTTTCCTACTTCTTACCCAACACATTTTGGTCTTCATAAGTTTAATTTGAGATTTATTATGACACATTTTCTACTCTGTATCTTTTTCTAGACTAGTATTTAACTCCTGCATTTAGCTTTGGCACAAAATGTGTAACGGCTGCTGCTACTTCATTATATTTAATTGATCTTGACTCTCACTTCCATTTTTCTATGACTGCCCCAACTCGGTACACCTAACTGACATCAGTTATCTGCTAGAGATCTTTTAAAAATAATTGATAATGAAGCATTTGTGAAATTAAATTTTCTGATTTCCTATAATGTTAGTAATGCATTTTGACTTCTCTCGTGACAGACACCTTAGTTTGGTATAAATTTCTATAATGGCACAAATTTCCTCCACACCTCTGTGCCAAGTGGTTGGGGGCTGGCTCAGATTTTTTTCTTTGAAGGTCCTTCCCTCCCTTCTTTCCTCAGTCCAGGGCTTTTCCACTGAGTGACATCCCCAGCCTTTTATTTTTAAATTGTTTGTAAATTCTGAGTCAGGTTCTTGCTAAGTTATTAAGTTGCCCAAGCTGGGGTGGAACTCGCAGCCCTCCTGCCTTAACCTTCAGAGTGCTGGGATTACAGGTGTATACCATGACCCTCAGCTTGAGGAACAATCATTTCTCCTTCAAAACTAGTAGGAATATTTCATTAGCACTGAGATTAAAAATACTGAAGTGGGCCCCATTTCCTAGCCACATCTTCCTTTGTGGCTAGAGTTCAGTAGGAGCTTCTCATTTTCACACCAGTCTCATTTTCTGCCTCCTGAATGCTTCTCAGAGCCCCTTTGATTACTGTCTTTCTTCTGTCCTAAGAAGTTCTTTCCTCTGGAACACAAATTACTCTTAATTAGATGTCTCTTCTGTTTCTATACAGTGGACCCTCAAATTACAACCGGCCTGACATATGAACAACTTGGGTTAATTAGATTAGTGGAAGATTCACTGCCTTTTGTTATCTATAGTGTGTACCCAGGTAAACATTCGGATCTCAGCTGTATTGACTTATAACCAATTTGAGTCACAACCAGCCCTCAGGAACCGACCGAGTTTGTAAGTCAAGGGTCCACTGTATTTTTCATCTCTAATGTCTTCCATTTCTGGTTTTGGATTTAAGTGTCACTATTTGTCTTAGTCATTTTCTCACTGTTGGGACAAAATATCCAACATCTACAACATAAAAGAGGAGAGACTTACTTTGGCTCACAGTTTTTAGAGGATGCAGTCCCTATTGGCTGGCTCCAAGGCACAAATGGTGTGGTGGAAGGGTCTGGGCAGAGAAGAGCTGCTCATGTTATGGCGGCCAGGAAGCGGAAAGAAGGGAGGAGCAGGGGAGGGAGCCGCACCCTTCCAGACCCTGCCCCCAGTGATGCCTCCTCCCACCAGGCCTCGCCTCTTAACAACGTGGCAGCTGTAGCACCTTCATGATTCAGGCACCTTCTAAAAGCCCCACCTGTGAGTGCACGAGTCCTTGAAGGGATATTCTCCATCCAAACCATAATACTGCCTTTTTTCCTGCATGGTGAGTCCTGCTTCTCCCCGATCCCAGCGGAGATGGGTGACTTGGTGGCTCCATGCTGTCTGCTCCTTGCAATAGGTGTCATTTCATTCTTGTGCCCAGAGACTGTGATGGTTGCCATTTTTCCTTTTCTAATTGATCTAAAATCTCTGGCATCATTTTTACAGATTAAAATATTAAAGGTTATCACACAGGCATCTGCTCCAGTTTTCACCCAATTCAATTCTTGGACACATTCCTCCTCTTTTTCCCCCATCCTTGGGCTAGTCCAAGTTTTAATTAACCCAGTGTTAAAGTTGGTATTCCTATTTACTTATATGTGAGCAAGAAATGGCAAGCCAAGTGCCAAATCGACCAAAAGGGAGAGTGGGCAGACCATTCTTGGCCCCACTGGCTGTGAGTAATTTGTGCCTGAGGCTCAGGAGCTGCCTGTGTCCGTGAACTCATGGCAGTTGCTGCTAGCAGTCCTAGTGGACTGCTTGGTTGCCTGACAATATCCCTTGTTCAGGAAGCATGGAAGGAAGACTGCTGTTCATCCTTGATGCACCCAGCATGCTGGTTCTCAGAGTGTGTTCCCTGGAGCAGCAGTATCAGGAAGCTGGTTAGAAATGCAGTTTCTCCAGCCCCACCCAAGATCTCCTGACTCAGAGACTCGGGTGGGTCCCAGCAACCTGCGCTTGACAAATTCTCCAGCAGATTCTGATGCCCACTCAAATTTGCAGGAAATGTAGGGAGCTATTGGTTAATGTACTGATCAGTTTTGCTGTTGATGGTACAAAATATCCAACATCCACCCTTAAAGGAAGAGAGATTTAAGGTTTTGGAGGGTTCAGTTCATGGTAGGCTAGTTCCACGTGTTATGGTTTAGAGTGAGAAGGAACCTGAAAACTGTCATGAGCTTGCTCAGAGGTGGGACTTTTGGAAGGGGATTGATCACAGGGCACTATACTCATCAGTGGATTCCCCCACTAGTGAGTTCACCTCTGTGGGTGTCTCTTAACCCACTAAGATTAAGTGGCACACGCCACATGGACAAAAGATACAAGTAGGTAGGGGGAATAAGTTCTGGTGTTGTATAACACAGGTGACTATAGTGAAGAGTACTGTATATTTCAAAATAGCTAGAAGTGTTGGAATGCTATAACCACAAAGAAGCAAGGTGAGGGATAGATATGCCAATCTTTAAACAATGGACACATACTTTGGAACCTCATGTTGTACTCCAGAAATAAGTGCCATTTTTATGTGTCAGGTAAATTGGTTTTTGTGGGGTTTTTTTTGTTTGTTTTTGTTTTTGTTTTTGTGCATGCCTATAATCCCAGCACTCTGGGAGCCTGAGGCAGGAGGGTCACAATTTTGAGCCCAGCCTGGGCAATTTAGTGACTTAGGGAGACCTTGTCTCAAAATTTAAAAATTTAAACTACAGCTCAGTGAGAAGGCCCAATACCAAAAGAATTTTTTTTCTTTTTAATTAAAAAAAAATGTTTATACAAAGCAACACAATGTAGTAGTAGTACATAAAGGAGACTCTTCAGCTCTAGGTGGGACAAAGCATCCCAGGCCTGATCTGTGGGAATTGGGACTGGAAGCAGAGCGGTTGCTGTGATATCAGGACAGGCAGCACGGTGGCTCTGAAGCCAAGACTCTTCTCCCAGGACCTTAACTGCCTTCCTCAGGAAGCAGTGGAAGGACTTCCCTGCCTTTTGGGGTCCTTTGCCCTACTCTGCCTCAGAAGGAAGAGTGGTGTTCTCAATTACAAGCCAGTGCCTCTTGTGCCTCCTCCAGTTTCTAGCTCGGGGGGACTTTGCTGGGGACAATGTCAGTGCCCTGGTCTTCCTGATGTCTGCTACCAAACTTCTGTCACTGCTTTTCCTACTGGGAGTTATTTTTGTTCCTTTATATGTAGACCCCTGATACCTAGCAATCAGCTCTCCAGAGCACAGCCTACCCTACCTGCCTTGGCTCCTCGGAGAACTTCTGGAATCCCGAAGAAGGCTGGGAAGAGCGCCCTCTGGAGGAAACTGGCTGCCAGTGTTCAGATTCTCTGCCCTTTCACTGTGGCAAGGCACAGTAATTGAACTTATTTTCCCACTGTGACAGGCACCTCAGGAGGGCCAAGTCCCCAGTGAAGTACTGAATTCCTGATAAGATGAAACGCCAGGCCACTGAAAGGACAGAGCTGCTCGCCACCTTGTGAGGCCTCTGCCCTCATTCTTTTTCCTTGACTCCTACAGAAGTCTGTACAGCTGGGAGGCATCTTCCAGGACCAGATTTTAGGTGAATCCAAACTCATTTCAACTTTCACAGAAGGTGTGGAATCAATTTGATGGTACAGTTCTTTCCTCTGTGTAGGGAGGATGGGTCACATAAGCACTGGAATCTATCACACCCCTATCCTATTCTTTTCTCTGGTCCTCTAAAAAAGCACTGTGCTCTGCAGAGAGCTGAGATCAGAAATTCTGAACCCAGGAGCTTCTGCTGGCTGCAGTTCACCACCATGGCACCCCACTGTCCAGGGCATCCAGACGGGATCTGGAGTTGCCAGAGTCCCACCACCTGCACAGACTGGAGAGCTCATAGTTTATCTTGGTGTAGCATGAAAATACAGCCAGTTTCTGAGGATATCCTGAATGCCAATATGACAGGGCCAAGCAAGGTCATTTGTCTGCATGGTTTCCTTCCAGGACCTTCCCATGTCCTTGGTCCCACCCCATCTGCCAGTGGTGGGGCCCATACGAGAAGTCAGGAAGCCTCAGTGTATCCAGAGACTTCCAGGCTCCAAGGTCTTCCACACAGTGAGACTGAAACGCCAGGCATCGGGATACCCTGCCCTGCTGAGAACACAGAGACAGACACTCCTGGAGCCTGTGGAAAAGACTGCTGGGCCATGTGAGTTGGCGGGGTGAAAGGAATGGGAGTTTGGTAAAGGTACTTAGAAAACTAAAACAAGCAAAGCAGAAAACAAACAAAAGCAAGTGCTAGGCTATGGGACAGGTCCCTGTGGACTCGTGTATGTCTTTCCATCACCTGGTGTGGGAGACGCAGGGACAGGGAGAGACGGGACATGCTGTGCTCTCCAACTCTGCAAGGAATCAGCTCAGGAGAGTCAGAGAACAGGGCTGTGGCACACAGCCTGGCCTTTGCAAAGTCCCCCTGGAACACAGCCACAGCCATGAAGACCTGCAATCACACAGAAACTAAGATTGAGCACCTATTTACTGCCACGGGCTACAGGAAATTTTCCACTCACTGCAGCACCTAGGAAGCGGATGCATGGCTCAGGATCTCCACTGACAATAAAGGGTTCCTGAGGCGAGAGGCAAGGAGGTATGTCCACCTGGCCAGTGACACCCCAGCAGGGACCCACCCCCTCCAGTGTCCCCTCCTGCAGAGTCCCAGGCCCAGACCCTCCTGGCCAGTGATCCTCCTTCCCTCTTCAAAGACAATCAACAGGTCAATTCAGGGCCGACTGGAGGGGACACTGTAGTGGCCTCACTGCCTACCTGGTCCACAAGGAAGCCAGGGTGTTTGTCATTCCTACCTTTGCTTGTTTCCCACAGGATCACTGTGGTTTCTGGCAAGTCAGATTTCTTCTAAAACACAGCCCTGAATGCACACAGGACACCCCCAACAATGAGCCCTCAGAGGAAGCCAGCGGCCTCCCACAGCCTGGAAGACATTCGACCGTGACACAGTGCAGCCAGAGTCCAGGGTCAGCTTGACCACTGGTATCCCTTGTTCTTCCTGGAGACTGGATTCAAGTCCTCTTCCCATAGCATTTACATGGTCAGAGGCACTGCAAGTGATCTAGAGATAATTTAAAGCATGCAGGAGGATATGCACAGCTTCGATGCAAATCCAACAACATTTTATATGATGGACTTCATTGTATACTTGTTATCCGTGAGAGGTATCCTGAGAATTCTGAGGGGCTGCTGCATATATTGAGCACCTACTGCATGCTAGGCTCTGAGGGTATTTCAGGGAATGAGATGGAAAAATAAGCACAGAAACATGTGAAATGGCACAGCAGTTGGTGCAGTGTGGTATGGAACAAAAGGAAGGAGGAAGGAGGGGAAGGAGTTGGCTTGGTTCTCTGGCTGATGGGGCTGTTAGGGGGCAGAGGACACCCACTTCCATAATGAATATGTAACATGGTAAGATCAGAAAATGTGTCTCCTTCTAAAGCAGATAATCGCTGTGCTGAAGTGCCTTCCTTTGCGTAAAATTATAGGTATGGGTTTGGAGCACAGGTCATAGGAGAGGCCCATTAGCAGCTCTCTGCTCCCAATTTCAACTGCCACTGTGAAGGGAGACTTTGACTAAAATAATAATTCACTCGTGTCTCAGCCCTTCACATCAGTGAAATCTGTCTCACTGCTGCATGGAGTGTGCAAAAATTCCAGAGAATACAGCTATTTCTGCACTCCTAGAAGTGAGTGTTGTGGGAGGCTAGATTATGGCCCCAAAGAGATCCACATCCTAACTATGGAAACCAGAAAATGTGTGGCCTTAGCTGGTAAAAGGGTTTTTACAGATACATGGTTGCAATAGAAAATTACAGCAAATGTTTAAATAGCTTTAAAAATTTATTACAGTAAAAGACACAGTGCCATTAATTCCCCACAAAATATTTCCCCTGGTTTTGAACACACTTATCCCACTGTTCTGGCCACTTTCTGAAGCAGTTCTGGAAGTCCTCTTTCCTGAGGGTCTTTAGTTGTGTCATTGTGGCTACCTCGATGTCCTGAATTGATTGAAAACATTGATGGGCAATTTCTTTCAAAGGGAAACACTGTGCTGTCTTCTCATCCACCTTGTTCACTGGATCTGGCACCCTGTGGCTTCTGGTTCTTCCCCAAAGTCAAAATGACCATGAAAGGTCAACATTTTGCAGCAGTGCAGAACATGGAGACAGGCACAACAGTGCAACTAAAGACGCACATGAGAGAACTTCCAGAACTGTTTCAGAATATGGCAAGAATGCTGGGATGAGTATGCTTGAAGGAAGGGGGAGGGTTTTGAGGGAGATTAATGACAGGCATCGTTTAGTGTAATACATTTTTAAAATTCACTATATTTTTTTATCACACCTCCTGTGATAAGTTAAGGACCTAGAGATGGGAAGATTAACCTGGATTTCCTGGGTGAGCCTTTGATCAAAGAGGAGAAGGCAGTGTGAGGGAGGTGGCAGAGGCCAGAGGAATGCACATGAAAATTGGGACAGAGGCAGGAGGCGTGGGAGCCAGGCAGGTAGCAGAAGCTGACCAAGGCCCAGAGATGGATTCTCTTCTTGGAACCTGTGGAAGGGGCACCTGAATTTTATCCCAGTGACACTAACTATGGACCTCTGATCTCAGAAATGTAGGAGAGTGAATTTGTGCTGTTTTATGTCACCAAGCTTTTGATAATTTGTTACAGCAGAAATAGGACTAAAAGAGAGGTTTATTTTGGTTTTTGTTGGCAGAGTAAAGGCTATTTATTTATTCTGCCAAGAGCTCATAATATCTGGAAAGAGCTCATCTCTTCTTGAGCGTTTGAACCAGGGGAAACTGTGTGTTTGACCACTAGATGCCCAGTGGGGTGAACTGTGCACACCCAGCACATACAGCAGGGTGAACTGTGGGACACAGGATGAGGGGTCCCAGTGGGGGACCTCTCTGGCCCACACAGGAGCTGCTTTCAGAGTCCATAGTGTCTGAGGACAAGGACAGGGGGAAATGAGAAACAAACAGGAAGAGGAAAAGAAAATATTCATGTCCTAATGGCAACCAGCAACCTTTAAGTATAGACAACATAGAAAATTCTCCTTTGCAGCTGGGCATGGTATAATAATTGAGAAAAACTTCATGAATTTGGCTCCTGTTCACAGTATCACATGGTGTGTGAATCCACTGAAAGGATCCATCTATCTATGTATCTATCTAGAGATTGTTTGTGGATAGAACTCTTTATTCGAACATACAAAGCTTCTTGTATTTCACAGCTTTTGGCTCCCCAGCCCTTCACTGTGTTGTGGCCCACGCATGAAAAATTAAGGGAACTAAAGTCATTCAGGGAGTTCTCACAGAGGCAAGAACCAACTGATGCTCTGATTCTATGTTCAGAGCTTGTTTCTGACAACTTAGTCGGCAACGGTAGCAGTTCCGGCAAAGAAGATGAATTAGCTGCACCCTCTGCCTCCCTCCTTGTGCTGATGACTGCAGATGGGGTGAGGGTCCTCGGGTAGCTGACTGATAGAAACGTCCTGTGTTTAGGGGCCCAGAGACTCATCATCTAGGACAGGTTTTGCCACTAACTAGCTGAGTGTCCTCAGGTAGGTCATTAACAGCTTGGAATCGGGATCTTGGTCCACTTAACAGACAATGAGAATGATTAAAACAAATAATAATAGTAGTAGTGAGATAATAAAAATAATAAGCATTCCTGCCATATTCACCACCTGGAGATTTTTCAAGGACTAAATGAAAGAAGAAACGTTAAATTTCTTGAATAAAAATGGAAAGCAGTATAAATATAAGACATAAGTTTGATAGGCCAATCAGTGATGTGATAACCAATTTCATCTCTTTAATTAGGCTCATGGTCTCCAGCTCTGTGCCAGGCTGCAGGCCGAGTTACTCAATGTATAATTCTGTCTGAGAACAGTGAATTTTAAGCGCCTCATGGCTAAAACACACCTGCTTTTTTTCTCATTTAAAGAATGTCATTTACGCTTTCAAGCTTCTCTCGACAGCTTCCATCTGGCATTCAGCGAAGAAACAGGATGGGATTGTCACTGTGTTACTTGTCTCATTCTGGAGAGATCCTTTTCCCAGCCCCCGTGACCCTAGATAAGGAATTCTACTGAATTTCTTCAGATACAGAGGAAGCCATTTCTGATACGGTACCCAGGGGAGTAGAGGGCACAAAACAGCAACCAGTCACAAATCTAAACAAGGAAAAGTAGGGATGTGTTTGGGCTTAGCAAATGAATGAGGTTTAGACTTGACTACAAGGACTGTGAGCTTTCTAGATGTGGACACTTATTCTGAAGCAAGGTCCAAAAATCAAGGTGATCTGTTGACAACCCTTCCGTGATGCCAAGTTCTTTCATGGTACAGTCCAAGTCCCTGAAGGCAACTTCCACGTGCTTTGACGATGCAGCCTTGCTACTTGGTCCTGCCTCAGCCCCCAGAAGTCATGTGTGCGGAAGGTGACTGGATCATGGGGGTGCTGTGCTCATCAGCAGATTCATCTGTGGATGAGTTCACAGCTGAACGTGCTGTCAGGAAGTGGGGCCTGGCTGGAGGTGGTCACTGGAGGCGTGACCTGGAAGGGGGCATGCCTGTTCCCAGCGACTCCCTTCCATCTCTGCTTCCTGGCTGTCATGGGTTGAAGAACTTTCCCTCCCCAGACTCCTCTGCCATATCATTTCTGCCTTGCAACCAATCAACCGTGGACCAAATCAAACCTCTCCTCCTTTAAGAGCTGCGTCAGTTGGGTTTTTTGTTGTAGTAAAGAGACAGTGAATAAGACAGAGCCTGACATCTGGATCCTCCATGATCTGACCACCCTGAGCTACTCGGCAGCAGTCATATGCATCAGGTGCTTGCCTATGCCCTGTGCTCAGAACATGTTCTCGGATCTGTGTTCTCCTCCAGACCAGTTCTGCCTTTAGTCCTCCACTTCTCTGCCATTTCCCTGGCAAGCCTTGTTGAGACCTGAGTAGTAGCTTGCTCTGCTACTCCATACCAATGCTTCATACCTAAATCTACCACAGCAGCTGGAACAGCATGTGAAAATTGCTCCTGGACTTTTTGTTTTGCCTATTAGGCCACAAGACCCTTGAGGAGAGTGACAATGTTCTGTTGACAGTTTGACCTCCACCCTACCTAGCCAAAGTTTTAGCCTTTGATCAGTATTTGCTGAATGGAAGAGCGAGTATGCATTGTCCTGGAAAATGGGTGAAGCAACCAATGTGTCGAGGAACACCCCCATTTACAAAGGCAAAATGCTGTGAATGGAAATATCCAACAAATGAGCCACGATTACTTTGAGACATGAAGACAAGAAGAGGAGCTGAATAAAATCTAGTGACAATTGTGAGGAAAATATGGGAAGCAAAATGGACGAAGTAAAAAGGAGGTGACAAAACAGAGGATACAGCCTCAGAGGCCCAAAATGAAAGGAATCTAGGCTGAATGGAGAATGGAAAAGAAATAAGTACCTAGAAGTGACAGGAAGCAATGGCAATGTAGGGCTGTGTATTGCTTGTGCTTCAGAAATGCTACCATCCTTTGTTAAAAACTAGAAATCAACATTCTTGGTTCTGAGCTTGGACAATGAAACTATGAGGTCTGACTGAAATATATGGTGAATGTTTAAATTTTTAAATATGTATTATAATAAAAGACACATCGCCATTAATCCCTTTCAAAGTACTCTCCCTCACTTTGAATACACTGATCCCACCATTCTTGCCACTTTCTGAAGCAGTTCTGGTGGTCCTCTTTCGTGAGTGTCTTTATGAGATGTGACAAAAATTATGGTGAATGCTTCTGCTGAACACCATCCAATGGAAAGGTAGACCCATAGAAATATCATAGTGTGTCTTTACCCGCTTTATTCACTGAATCTGGCACCATGTGACTTCTGATTCTTCTCCAAAGCCAAAATGACAACGAAAGGTAGATAAACACTTTGAACTGATGCCGAATGTCACAGCAGCCATGACAATGCAACAAAAAACATGAAAGAGGACTTTCAGAGCTGCTTCAGAAAGTAGCACGAACAAATGGGATAGATGTGTTTGAAACAAGTGGGAATATTTTGAGGGAGATTAATCCCAATGCATCTTTTATAGTAATTTTTTTTTCAGCTTTAATTGAGTTTATTGGTACATTTTAGGGATACAGTACAGTTACATTCATTGTTGGGATCTTGTACCTCTACATGACAAGTCTTGATTCTCATTTTTTCCCCTCAGGGTTAGTAATTTTTTTTTAGTGTAAACATTCATCATATATTTGGATCACACCTCATGAGCCCAGAATGGCCTTCTGTTTTAGTAACTGGTCCCAGATACAACATGTGGGCTGAGCTGTATGGTCCTCTGTTTAGGAACCTGATCATGAATATGGCACTTGGGTAAATCACATTTCCCTCTGCTTCTTCGCCAAATCATAAGTACGGCATGTAGTTAGGGATCACAACCCTGTGTTTTAGGAACCAGATTACAAACGTGGCACATGGGTGATAGAACTTTCTATTTTAGGAACCAGGCCACACACTCAGACTGTGGTCACACCATCACTTTTCCCTTTTAATAAACAGATCACAAAGATGGCAGGTGGCACTGCTTCTCAGATCACTAACTGAACACACAGCCAAGCGGTATAATGCTGCATTTATTGGACTCAATTATACATCCCGGCCTCATCTTTTAAAATTTTATTTGTTGCCAATGAAATTTTAATTAGCTAAAGAAAAGCAAACACATTATAAAAACAAGATAACGAAGGCCATAAAATCACCAGTCCCCATCTCAGTCCTTCAAACGGATGGTTGAGACCATGTCTAGGGAATTAGGGAAGGAAAGTGAAGGAAATTCTGGGAGAAACTCACCAAACCCACCAGATCTGGCCCTGTGAGGACATTAGAGCAGCAATAGGACAGACCAAGCCCTTCCATTCAAAGCTCTT